CACACTGCCCCCACCCACCATTCTAATACACTGCCCACTCCCCCAACCCCCCAATTTAATGCTCTAGACTCCTGCCTCCCCCAAATTAATACACTGTCCCATCCCTCCCTCAAATAAATCGCTGCCTAGGTGTTCTATTTGACTCCGACCTCTCCTTCAAGCCTCATGTTCAATCTATCGTCAAATCCTGTCATTTCCATCTCAAAAACATTGCCGCGCATCCGCCCCTACTTAACGCCAGATGCGACTAAGGTGTTGGTCCATTCCACTGTCCTTTCTCGCCTTGACTACTGTAATCCGCTTCTCAGTGGTCTTACGTGCTCCCAACTAGCGCCGTTACAGTCCATAATGAATGTGGCAGCGAGGCTCATCTTCCTGTCCGCCCGCACCTCCCATGCCTCACCCTTCTGTCAGTCCCTACATTGGCTTCCTATAAAATATAGAGCTCAATTTAAAATTCTGGTTCTTGCTTTCAAATCTCTACATAATGCTGCTCCCACCTATCTATCCTCCCTTATACACAAGTATGTCCCGTCTAGGCCCTTACAATCTGCTGAAGACTTACGTCTATCTTCTGTCCGTACTCCCACCTCTGATGCTCGCCTTCAAGATTTCTCGAGGGCTGCACCGTTCCTGTGGAACTCGCTTCCCTCCTCCGTTAGATGCTCACCCAGTCTCCACTCCTTCAAAAAATCGTTAAAAACCCACTTCTTCATAAAAGCGTATCAATTAAACTGTTAATAGCTCCTGACTGATTCCTCTTCTGCAACTGTCACTAGTCTAATACTATCCTTACCTTTTTGTGTCATTTTACCCCACTCCCTCTAGCATGTAAGGTCATTGAGCAGGGCCCTCAACCCCTCTGTTCCTGTGTGTCCAACTTGTCTGGTTACAACTACATGTCTGTTCGTCCACCCATTGTAAAGCGCTGCGGAATTTGACGGCGCTCTATAAATATCATAATAATAAATACACTGCCAACCCTTTCCAATGTAACACACTACACAGGAAGGTCCACCAAGACCCACTTCCCCTACCTCAAGATGAGCCACCCGTCCACAAGTTCCAGTCCTGCTCTTCTAATAAATCCACACTCACACACTGATCCTGCACATAAATGCATCACTGCAGTTTCAGCTGCTAACCTTACACACACACACTAATCCTACACGCAAACACGCCCTTACATTCACTTACACTGATCCTACACACAAATATGTCCTTGCATTTGTACGCTTTGATGCATCACACAGTTACTTCTTCTGCAAAGAGTATAAGCATAGCAAAACCAAAAATATAAGGTAAAGCAGAGTAGGGGGTGAGAGGGCAGGTCTCCATGGGTCATCCTATTCGATAATATCAAATCATCAGGAAACATTCCAATAATCTACACACAATGGCATGTTTTATATGATAAGAGGTGGAGGAATAATGAACAAGGGATGTGAGTTCACCCATCCTCTATTTTCTTATTATTTCTTGCTTGGCTGGAGGAGAGGCCTTTAACAATGTTCCTACTAGCCATTTGGGCAGCCAATGAGATCTTGTTTAATAACTTTTGAAGATTAGTTGTGAGACCACCTACTGATCTCGATAATAAAATTAAAGCTGTTTTTTTTTTAGGCTGAACTTATTACTTAAAATGTGAACCGTTTAAAATATTTTACTAACATGGGTGGATTATCTATTCTCTTTATAATAGTGCATTCACGCTTAATTTAAAGTAGCTTTTTGTTTTCAGGGTCAATCAGTGGTTTATTTTTGATGATGGTAAATTGGCGGTGTTCTCTAAATTCAGGACAGTCTCATCTAATAGTTATTCTGATTACAGATCTGGTAAACCTTGACAATGGACCACTTATCATCGCACTTGTTTTTATCTTATATTTCTAGGGTGTGCAGACTTACATCTTCTAGACATGCTGAGCCCCACAGAGAGAAAGAGGCAAGGCTATATTCATGAATTGATAGTGACTGAGGAGAACTATGTTAATGACTTACAATTAGTCACAGAGGTAAGTTCAGCTTAGTCCTTATTGTACGATCACAGTCTGACTTATTTTACGTTGACTGTATTGCTGCTCCTATCACTGTATTGTCACTAAATCCCAAGGTACCACCATGGGTAATGAAAACCACCTAAGTAAAACAGTTCCATTACCATTGTGTAAAACCATTTTGTAGAGATGAATCTACATTCCTCTTACTGGGGACTCTGGTTTCGAGCTGATCTGTGTTAACATAGCCTTGATACTGTCGTCTTTATTTGGGCAGACTAGATGGGCCGAAGTGGTTCTTATCTGCCGTCACATTATATGTATCTATGTCTCTAGAATCCAATCCTTATAATTATTAATATAGAACATGGCAACTGAGTCTGTAAAATTTTACTGTGAAACTAGAATTGATGGTACCAGGTTCACTTTATTGAGACTTATTCAGTTTATCTTGGGGTGTAGTGAAATATTACTTCTTTCTATGGTCCATTCAGATTTGTGGAATTTTTGGGAAAGTTCGAGCTGTAAAACATCTCTACTTAAGCAGTTGAGTTTTACCTACTTGCTTTACCCATGAATCACCATTGTCGCAGTTTCATTAACGAATATAAGACACATTGTCTTTTAGAACAGTACTTGGTTTCTAAACTGTGGTAGGAGCTTGGACTTCATCCTTGTTGTTACAGCTGTATTTGTTCCTGTGATTTGCCCCTGCTGTTGTTCAAGGCTTGTATTTTTACAATGTTTGCTTCCAGTACTAGCAGAGTAATAGAACATACAAACGAAAAGTTTGAACATATCTGAGACGACAGTGGAAAGACTAAAACCTCTCAAATTAATTTCTCTCCTGTATAATCTAGACATTCCAGAAACCCCTGTTGGAATCCAATTTGCTCACAGAGAAAGAAGTGGCCATGATTTTTGTCAACTGGAAGGAGCTGATTATGTGCAATATCAAACTACTCAAGTAAGATTTCTAGTCTAGTCTGGGAGGTTGATGGTACTGGATATATGTCTGGACAGAATGATTCTCAGAGAACAAAGAACAGAATATTTCAACTCTAGCTACTTGGTTTTTTCCCCAACCAAATAGGTGAAAAAAGGGTTTTGTTTTTTTAAAGCATGAACCTTCCCTTGAAACTCTTAAACGATCACTCAGCACCATCACATGTATGTATATTACAAAGTTGTTGGTGCAGAGAGGTGCTTGCCCTCATTTTTCCATCCCTTGCAGAACGTTCAGTCAGACTGCCTGAATGCTCAATTTCAACTACCAAATTTCAGTTATATCTATGCTGCACCACTCAGACCAGGTCGGGTTCGTTTCCCGGGTAGAGACAACACGACCAGAGCGCTTAATGTAATCCTGTCTGCCCGGTCCATGGGGAGGGAAGTGCTACTCCTCTCAACGGGCACAGAAAAGGCATTAGACCGGCTAAACTTGACATACCTTGCTGCAATGCTGCAACACATGGGCATTGGCCCCAGGGACGTATTAGCCACGAGGCAAACAAGGCATTTGCCTTGGGCGACACTTTCCAGGGGGCGGCTAACTGACAATCCAGGCGGGCTGCGCTGGATAGGGAGCACTGATTTGTGAGCTCTCTGCTCAGCTCCCTCGCGTGCCGCAGAGTGATGCCAGGAGCCGGAATATGACGTCATATTCCGGCATCACTCTCTGGCGTGCGAGGGAGCTGAACAGGAGAATCTGTGCTCCCTTGCTGCCTGCAGTCACCGGCCGATCTCCCAGCAGCCCCACTGGACCCCAGGGAAAGGGAGAACCCCCCCCCCCCAGCATTCGCAAAGGTAAGGAGGCTGAGGGGATTGAATTTAAAAAAAGAATGTGAGTGTGTTAATGTGTGTGTCTGTCAGTGTGTTTTTCTGCCTGTAAGTGTGTGTAGGGCAGCACAAAACCAGGATACACCACTGATTGACTCCCACTTTCGCACATGGATGGCCTCGCTATATACGACACCAACGGCAAGAGTGAGGGTTAATGGAGTCCTTGCAGCACCGTTCCCCATACAAAACGGCACTCGCCAGGGCTGACCCTTGCCCCCCTTACTGTTTGCCCTCTCTCTTGAACCGTTTCTGGAGGAGGTCATACGGGACGGGGGAATCTTATGCCGATGATATGCTGTTCTTCCTGGAGAACCCACTGGTCTCCCTTCCCAACCTCCTAAAACTGTTTGAGCGATATGGTCAGATCTCTAATCTGAAACTGAACTTAGATAAGTCGGAAGCCCTGGCCATAACTCTTCCACATTACATGGAAGACCATCTGCAAACACAATTCCACTTTTGCTGGAACAACTCCATGATCCGTTACTTGGGCACGTGGCTGCCTAAAGACTTGACGCAAACATATATGTGAACTTCTTCCCCATTCTGAACATGCTTGAAAGCCGACCTGCTGAGATGGACGGGCCTATACATTTCGTGGTTTAACCGCATTAATGAGGTCAAGATGAATATCCTACTGCGACTTTATCTCTTCCAGGCCTTACCAGTGGTGATTCAGAGGGCCATTTTCCAATCAATAACCACTGCAATCCGGAACTTTGTGTGGAACGGAAGAGCTACTCGAATACGCCAAATACAGTTGATCCGCCTGAAACACTCAGGCGGCATGGACCTCCTAACACACAGACACACACTCACTAACAGACACACATACACACACTCACTAACAGACACACACACAAACAGACATCCACCCACACACACTAACAGACACACACACTAACAGACACACACAGACACTCACTCATATTAACACACTCACTTTTTTTTTAATTTAACCCCCCCAGCCTCCTTACCTTTGGGAATGCTGGGGGGGGTTCTAGTGGGGCTGATGGGCGGGCGGGATGGCTGGCTGCTGGGTGAGCGGTCAGTCGGGCGGCGCTAGCGAGGGAGCACTTTCCCCTGAGCGCTCAGCTCCCTCGCACGCCGCAGAGTGATGCTGGGAGCCGAAATATGACCTTGCGGCTAACAGTCCAGGCAGGCGGGCAGGCAGCGCTGGCGAGGGAGCACTTTCCCCTGAGTGCTCTGCTCAGCTCCCTCGCCAGTGCTGCCTGCCCGCCTGCCTGGACTGTTAGCCGCAAGGCTAACAAGGCATTTGGGGTGGCTTTTTTTGCCGCCCCCTGGAAAATGCCGCCCAAGACAAATGCCTTGTTTGCCTCGAGGTTAAAATGTCCCTGCTTGCAACGAATCATAGCTAGGCATGTCCGAACACTGACTAAACTCTGCGTCCCCATGGAGACCCAATATGCGTGAGAGGCTATACCAGCAAAATTATGGCTCGCTAGGGCAGCTGTGAACAGGAAACCCGAAGATCGATGCAATGCTCCGGGTGTGGTGCACGGTCAGATACGCAAGGCAATTGACAACAACCCATTCCCCGCTGACTCTCTTTGTACACAACCCATACCTAGCAGACGGACTGAAACCGACTGGGTTTCAGGGCTCAGACTGGAAATATATTCACCAATGGTGCACAGAAACGCACCTTAAAGCCGGACTTGATCACAGACAGACAGCCGACGACCCTAGAGCGGTTCTGAAACCACCAAATACACACCTACTACAAGGCAAGGAAGGGTCACCTACAATTCCACAGAACATATACACAATTTGAGATTTACTGCACAGCTAGGGAACACTTACACAGAGGGGTCTCAGCCCTATATGCCTTACTGATAATGGGAGAGGACCACCGACCTCCGGGATTTATATCCCGATGGGAAGGAGAAACTGGAGTCACACTATCAGAGAACGAATGGAATAAAATATACATACTAACACATAAATGCTCAATGGGAGCAAAATACCAGGAGCTACAAGCTCATAACCCACTGGTACAGGACCTCAGATGTGCTACACCGAATAAACCCCGACACCTGCTGACATTGTGACAAAGAGGCCGGGACTGGCCTGCACATCTGGTGGTCGTGCCCAGTGATTGCCCCTTCTGGACTATGGTCACTCACAATGCACTAACGGCCGCAAAATCCTTGGCTGCTGGAAGCGACGGGGTGCGCCGAGCTTTCAGCAATGGGTGGCCAAAGTTGAGGAGATACATGCCATGGAAAGTAGGACTGCAGACCTTAGAGGTAGCTCCGACAAATGTGCCCTGAAATGGTACTCCTGGACCGACTTCACCCATAAGGAGGGAATGCAGACTTAGACACTCACTAACATCAGGACATAGTGCTCTGGCAATGCCCCAACAAGACACCAGGAGGGAGCAAACCACGACACTAGAGAGGGGTCACTCACAAGCTCTGACCGACAGAACTGATGTTGTTAACCGGGACATAGCATGCAGCGGTGGCAATAAAAGATAGAAATACTACTTGCTTTCCTCCACCCCTTTTTTTCTCTTTCTTTCTTTCTTTCTTTCTACTTCTTTGCTCGTCTCTTTATCTCCTACCCCACTCTCCTTTCACTGTTTCCCCTGGAGTCGATATCCTCACCTAATTCACCCAACTCCCACCCATATCCCGCTGGTAAGACAGCACAAAGAAAACTCCAGCAAACTAGCATGGAGATAGCCATGAATCCAAAGTAGAAAACAGCACTCGCAGCGCACACAGGCTGAACCCATCAAAAAACTTAACACAGGAATGAGGGCTAAGTTTTGGAAGTGGATATGTAAAGCTACTGGTTAACCTAATAACTGTATGTAAAATGCTTCTACTTGACTATTTCACAATATGCCACACTGTCTTGTTAACAATGATGAAAATACAAAAATAAAGATGGTCAAAAAAAAAATCTATACTGCACATAGGGCAGTCACATGTCCTACATGGACTTAGCAATCTCTTTTTTTTGGAACGCAAGCCTAGCCACAGACTGAGGCTCTAATTTACTGTACTTGTGGGCCTCCATAATGCAAACGGTGAGGTCAGAGGGAAATGTGGACAGTTTATGCCTCAATACCCAAGTATGTTTCATTGTATGAGATGATAAATCCAAAAATATTTCCTTCTGTATTTGATTACAGGGCCCTAAGAGTTCGCAAAAAGATGTCTGGGGAAAAGATGCCTGTAAAGATGATTGGAGACATCTTGACTGCTCAGTTACCCCATATGCAACCCTATATTCGCTTCTGTAGCTGTCAGCTAAATGGTGCTGCTCTCATCCAGCAAAAAACAGATGAGGTGCCAGAATTTAAGGAGTTTGTCAAAGTAAGTGCTACTGTTAATGTATTGGACGGCTAACCTTCCTGCTATGAATTTAATGTACTTTAAAACCTCCCAAAGATATGCAGATTCTCACGGTCCCTCCTTCTGGATGTTCTAGGTGTTCAGATATATCTGACGCACCATGAGATATTTGGATAGATCTATCACTGTATTGAGAACTCTATGGCATTCACAGAGAAGTCTGAAGTAACATTAACTCAACATTATCTCCCACAGCTGATTTACCACCAAAGTCACTAACTGTGAAGTCTGAAGATTGTTCAGAACTTTGAACCCAGTCTGGTTCTGTATATTCCCAAGTCTATTATTATCCTGTGGCGTTGATATTGAAACTGATTTAGAAAAAAAACTGATAAATTACACAATGTTGCTTTCTTGAGTCACAGTCTTTATTTCCAAATTCAGGATCACATCAATTTCTTGGATAACGAGGAGACTAAAAGGATATTTTATTTAGAAAATCCAAGGATAGCCAATGCTTGTTGGGCAGTAATGTGAATTGGTTATCTTTTTGTTAATTCTAGTGCAATTTTATGCAATTCTCCCCTTGCTTCTTGTAAAACAAGAGCTTTCTGTGGCAGTTAAATCGGCTTCACTGGCATGTCCTAATGGAGGCAAGGAGTGTAAGAATACTCACTAGGGATCGCAAAGCTGTAGGTGAAAGAGATTCAGCACTAAGGAAAAGCCTTTGGACCACAAGATGTACTATGGAGTTCTAAGAGGAAGACTATGGCATTATACAGTTCCCTCCAGCTTAGTGGCTGCAAAGGGAGTGAACTGTCTGGCAGTGTCCTGGTAAACCTTCCATTGTTTTGGATAATGTCGTTATAAGTTGCATCTTGGTTTCAAATGGTTTGCATTGTGAATGAATAGTAACGGTAAAGTAGATAAGGGTCTACATGTTCTTGGTAACAGGAAATATGTGGTGCCACTCAGACTGCAATGGCAATATTCTCCTGCAGTAGACAGTAGCATAAAGAAGCCCGGGTACACACAGAGAGTTTCTTCAATGGAAGCTTATGAAAAGCTTTGTGACAGAGTCAAAACGTTACCAGCTTCAGTGTCCAAATAAAGTCTCCATTGATGAAACCTTCCTTGTGTTCCCGGACATCTTTCTGCTATTGTATGAATAGTAAGTCCGATGTTTCATTTTACTGTTCACCACTATAACACAGTTTTTGTTCTTTCAGAGGTTGGCAATGGACCCTCGTTGTAAAGGTATGCCTCTATCCAGCTTCCTCCTGAAACCTATGCAAAGAGTGACCAGATACCCTCTCATCATTAAAAATGTACGTAACATCCGTAGTACTCCTTAATGTATCAAATATGTTAATTGTTCTGAACATTATTTATGTATACTGGAAACAAAATAATTTTTAATATATATATTGATAGGCAATAAATCGCACAGATTTCAATGAATACGAGTGTGGTGCAGACATTATGTTAGTGAGTTTATTGCATAATTGTCTTTCACTTGGTTTACTGGTTAAGTGCTTTAGTCATCACATAATTTTGTGTTCTTAACAATGTCACGTTAATAAGAATAATGGTACATTTTGTTTTCTTGTATGTTTGTTTTTTTTCCCTTCACAATGTAATGCTCTATACAAATATAATATCAGGAATTGTAAACATTGACGAAACTCTTTAGAGAAATTTTTTTATATTCTTCTAGGCTGAATTGTTTTACAGAGATAGAAATGCTCATTCAGTAAGTCCAGGAAAAAAACTACCCTTGGTGCTTGCAAAAAGTTTACATCTGTGATGTCTTTCAAGATAAACCTCTCAACTAGTTGTTGATAAAGCAGCTATTCTTAAATGGATAAATTTGCTCCAATGAGTGTTCATCTTCAGTGCGCTGTAGGCAGATTGAATTGACGGAATTCTTTTTTTTTATAATTCTTTATTTATGTCAAGGTTCGACACCACAGCAAGGTATAAAACACAATTCAGATGCTTCCATTAACACGTGTACATATAATCGGAAGCTAGTGTCAGTAAAGTTATGTATTTTCATAAAAAAAACAGCCTGTAACCATTAAACAACCCATGTCTTGTGAACTCTAAAAATCTTTAAATAGTGGCGTCGCCCCCGTTTTTAATTTTATTTCATATATATGCGCCTCTTTTAGCCTCTATGCGTGTATAACCTGGGTAGCAAGTACAAGCCATTCAGAACACGCACGTATGTTAACAGATACAGCACATTGTGGAGCAGAGTACCCAATAGCTTGAAAGTAACAAAGTCATGCTTCGCGGTTCGGCACCGTACCCCTCCAGTAAGGGTCCCGGTTGTGAACCACACTAGACAGTAAGGACAAGAGTAAAGGAAAGGAAAGAGAAGAGTAAAGAAATAAGTCCGACGGGGCAATAAGGCGACAAGGAGAAGGCTGCCAGGGAGGGTGGGCCCAGGAAAGAGACGGGGCGCCAGACCCCCTCTCCCCCCCCACCGCCCCCTAGGTTTCCTGTTCCTCCTATCCCCCTAGCGGGCTCTCATCCCAAGGTCCCCAGACCTTCCGAAACATTCCCAAGGATCCTCGTATTCTAGCTGTCAAGTCATCCATAAGTCTCACCTCTCTTATCCGTGAGTATACACTAGCCATTGGTGGGGCTTCCGTTTTTAGCCAGGTGTATGCTATTGCTCTCCGTGCTGCCAGGGTGAGTTTATGAAATAGAGTCTGTTCCCGTCTCGTCCAGCCGTCGACTGACCTGCTGAGGAGATACACCCAGGGATCTAAATCTGGGGCCCTAGAGAAAACCTGGGTCAGGAGGTCTTTCACGGCCTCCCAGAAGCCCTTGAGCTTCGGGCATCCCCACCACATATGCAAGTAGGTTCCTTTATGTCCACACCCCCTCCAGCAGTCGTCCGTG